TTCACTTTTCGAACAAGGAGGGTGGACGAGGTAGGACGACGGACGTTGGAGCAGGGAGGCAAAGAGGAACGAAGAATAATAAGGGAGGTGGGAAGGGGCGTTCCCCCGCCCGAGCCGCGGACGCTTTCGACACCATCCAGGGGAGGGAAGACAGGAAGGGGAACGGAGCAAGGGCGAGGACGACGACGGGAAGCAAAGTGTCCCAGGTCCGCATATAGCCATATGTCTGCGATTCGGGTGCGCGCGCTTTCTTCGAGGCACTTCAAGCCGGACCCATGCTGAATTCACGAATTCCTCAAAACTGTGTAAACACTCTGTCCTCTGTTCCCTCTCCTATACAACGGCCTCATAACAGAGGGCAGTGGACTCCAAATTCCTGCATGCGGTCGGGGACGTCCTGCGATGCGAACCGAACAGCTTTCGCCACATTCTCCACCTCCCTCGTGAGCCTGGTCCGCCTTGGGATACACAACCAAAACTTCATGGTGACCTCGTAGATCGGGCCGCGCAGCGAGAGCGGCTTGAACGGCAGCCCGCAGCTCTTCTGGAAACTCAGGATGTGTTTTGGCGTCGGATTATCCTGATCCATCTGGCTTCTGTTGACCCCTACGTTGGCACAGCCATCCACATTTCGAACAACCCCCCTCCCCTTTGGCCTGGTACTCCCAGTGGCCGCATGCTCCACACACGTCGTGCGGTTTTTTCGACTTGCCGTCGCTCGGACGTCCATTTCCCGTGCATTTGTCAGTTTCGTGCGTGTTTCTTTCGCTCGATGGTCCAGGATGGTCCTCGATGGTTCTCGCCGAGAAAAAAAGCACACGTCCGAGCGATGCCAAGTCGAATATTCACTTTGCCTCTAGCGCGCCCTGCCCCAGCTGGGGCCTTAGCGCACAAGAAGCACTGTTGCGCCAGGACATGGCGCACTTGACTGGGGAGTGGGGAGTGTGTAGGATGAGGAGGAGGAGGAAAAAGAAGAGGACATAAATCTTCGACGTCGTTTGTTTCATGACTTGACCACGAAAAGATCTAGACCCTTCCCAAAGACCGGTGTTTCATCCCGAACCGCTTTTGGACGGAAGCCCGGCAAGGACACCCGGAGGCCGAAGATGGATAACGAAAACGCACGCCATATGTTTGCCACGGCGCAGAGGGGCCTGGCAGAGAGGAGGAGAAGGGGGAGGAGGAGGAGGAGGAGGAGGAACGAACGAACGAACGATCGCCAGAGTCTTGCGTGCTCCTCTGGGGAGCTCGCCCGTGCTCATTAAGGCATGGCGTGGAGGTCATGGCCTCGGCATTAAGTTCTTCTATTCCAACTTGTGAAACGTATTCACGTTCACTTGATGATCACCACTCTATGCACACAGCGGCCCGGATCCATCGTAGGAGGAGGAGGAGCAGAAGGAGGAGGAGGGGGAGGAGGGGGAGGAGGAGGATGAAGAGGAGGAGGAGGAGGAGGAGGAGGAGGAGGAGGAGGAGGAGGAGGAGGAGGAGGAGGAGGAGGAGGAGGAGGAGGAGGATGATGATGACAAGCCCTGAGGTCAGGGTTCGGCCGCCTGGCCAGCCTCCTCAGATGAGGAGCACGTACTGGCCGACGGGCCTCACGACCTCTGCGCCAGCGCGACGAGCTGCTTGAAAGCCGCAGCCCTGGCCACCGCGCCCTCTCTCGACTCCTCGGAGTCGGCTCTGGCCCGCTCCGCCCGCGGCGACGCAGCAGCAGCGGCAGCCTCGACGCCGTGCTCGAGGCCGCCGAGCGAGGCACGGCGGCCGCCGTCCAGCGCGGCCACGCGGCCGCCGAGGCCGCCACCTTGCCCACGTCCTTGCCCTCGTACGCTCGGTGCGGCCCGAGGATCCCAGGGCCCTGGCCAACCGCCGAGGGCGGGGACACTTTCCCAGGCAGGCCCGTGGCGCAGAGGGGGGTACGTGGCACACGGCCTGCACACCGCCCCCGCTGCTGCTGCCTCGGCGCCGCGCCCGCTGCCCTCGAGCTCGGCCGAGGCAATGGCGCCGTCGCGCTCGTCCAGGCTGGGTGCGGCTGCGCCAGGGGCCTGCTGCCCACGCGCGCCAGCCGCCGCCAGGAGGCGGGCGACGCGCTCGGCGAAGCCCAGCGAGCCCAGTGCCGTCGCGGCGTGGCCGTCCCGCGCGCCCGACACGCCACCGGCCGCGGCCGAGCCGCTCGCCACCCCCGCAGCAGCCTCCTCGGCGTCGTGCGCGGTGTCGTCCAGCGCGCCCACGGGGTCGACGTCCAGCGCGTCCGAGCCGTCGGCGCCCGCCGAAAGGCAGTCCGCCGCCCCCGCAGCTGCAGCCTCCGCGTCGTGCTCCGCGTCGCCCAGCGCGCCCTTGGTGTCGACGCCCAGCGCGTCCGAGCCGTCGACGACCGCCAGCGATCTGCCCGCCTCCCCAGCATCAGCCGCCTCAGCGCCGAAGCCCAGCGCGCCCAGGAGGCCGTCGTCCAGCGTGCCCGAGCTGCCGAGGCCCATCGCTAGGCCGAGCGCCTCCGCAGCAGCTGCAGCCTCGGCGTCGTGCTCGTCGTCGCCCAGCGCGCCCTCGACCGCGACGTCCAGCGCGGCCGAGCCGTCGAAGGAGTCCTTCTCCAGGCCGAGCGCCTCCGAGGCTGCTACCTCCTGAGTGTCGTGCTCGTCGTCGCCCAGCGCGCCCACGTACTGTGCGTCCAGCGCGCCCGAGCCGTCGAAAGCCGCCGCCGAGCCGCGCAGCGCCCCCGCGCCAGCAGCCCCAGCAGCAGCATACTCCGCGACGTGCTCCACGCTGTCCGCCGCGGCCGAGGAGATGACGCACTGCGTGGTCTTGCGGCGCGGTCCCGTGCTGGCGGCGGCACTGGGCCTCCCAGCAGCAGCAGCTCCTTGGGCTCCCCTGAGTCGTGCCCCAGCACGCCTATCCCTTCGAGCTCCGCGAACTGCCGCCTGCTGGAAATCTCCTCTGGCCATCGCGTGTCCGAACATGGTGTTCCTCCCTTCCTGCTCGTCACACCAGGACTGTGCCCTTTCACGCACTCGTTGGTGAAGTGCAGCCATTCTGCTCTCAAAACCTGCCTCAGGCACTGCCCCGTCCGTGCCACTGAGGATGTCAACCTTCGTGAAAGTGGTGTGAACCTCGCTTGTCGTCTCCAGCCGTCGAAGAGGGGTGGTGCTGTCGATGAACTTCTTCAGCTTCTTGAAGGGACCGAAGCCACGCCTCAGGTTGTGGAGGACCTCGAGGCCCTTGGTAGTGGCGACTGCGCAGGGCTGTCGCAACTTGGCCTTGCGCCGCTGCAGCGCCCAAACCCCACACTTGACACAGATGAACACTGGCCTGTAGGTGTCCTGCCCGTCGCTCTCCAAGATGCCCTTCTGGTTGACCGCGACCAGCTTGTGGCCATTGGGGTTGCGCCGATGGTCCAGCAGGAAAGTGGGCGTCCCAGGGCACCCCGTGAGGGGGAGCGGTTGCCCAGGCATGTGCAACTGTAAGCAGGTGATGCATTGCACGCCCAGCTCGCCATCTTGCCATTAATGCCATGTTGCCTTCCTTGTGCTCGCTGCTCGCCGCCAGGTCGGTGCCCTCCTGGTCCACCTGATTTGGTCGTCCTTGTCGAAGATGGGCATGACGTGGGCGATCAGCTTCGCTAACTGGCTTATTCTGTCTACGCCCTTCTGCATCTCCTCGACTACCTGCAGCTCGGGGGCGGGGTGGATCGCCGCTGCCTCCTTGGCCCTGCGGTCCGCTACGATGTTCGCGTCCGTTATCCTCCTCTGGCTGTCGGAGAGCGCTGCGTACTCGTCCCCAGAGCGGTGCGCTTTGACGTGGGCGTACTGCTGCACGTGCGTGAAGCCGTCGAGCGACTGCGCGAAGTGGGCGATGCACGCATAGGGGGTCCTGGCCTTCAGCTGCAGCTCTTTCTGCTTGTTGCCCAGATGGATGACGCCCTTGAAGTCGGCGTGGACGGTGCAGGGTCGGGAGGAGGAGGAGGAGGAGGAGGAGGAGGAGGAGGAGGAGGAGGAGGAGGAGGGGGGGGGTTACAAACCCACCCTCACGCAAGCAAACGACGACGACGCACTGGTCGTCGTCGTTGTCGTCCGTCCGTCCGTCCGCCCGCCCGCCAGTCGTCGACGTCGCTTGCCAGCGCGAGGGAGGGCCTTGCACCGAGGGAGGGAGGGGGCCCGCATGGGGGAATGGGTAATCCCCGATCCCCTTCCACAAGGGGGTTCCCGAGGGGGGGTCCAAATCGCCCCTCTCTGTGAAACACATCCACAGAACGCGCTCTTTCCCACCATTCTCACCAAAGGGTGCCACTCTGGCGGATCCCGATGGGAGCCCTTCACTTGCTGCGATCGCTTCGATCGTGTCACTGTCGAAGGTGGTGAATTTTTCAGAAATCTGGCATGATACCTGTCATGTCGCAGATTGGAGTCGAGCCGTGCCAGCAGCACCAGCAGCGACAGCGGCTGAAATGGTGGTGCCAGCAATTCGTAAGCTGGCTGGGAAGCGAGTCACACGCCCCAAGAAGCCTACGTCACATGCGAATGGCCCGCGCGACGCTATCTGCAACAATCGCCCTTCGACGACGTGCTCCAACAAAAATGAAACAACACCAGAGCCTCGCAAGGCAGATTCTCCAACCCACACGGCGACCTCCTCAACTCCTCCCCCGTCCCCGTCTCGTATACGCAGACCCGCCCTCCTTCACCTCAAGAGGTTCCAATGGAGAACGCTGGGAACATGATTTCAGCTTCGACTTAAGCGCTGCTGGAACACATGCAGATGCCAACAACAGGCGCACTCGACCAAGGGCCTCCAGACCACGAGACGGAGAGGACATACGGGAGCCAGGTGGCATATTGGCCAGTCAGTGGCAGCAGGGCGCAGTGCCAATCTACGATGCTTCTCCTCGTCCCCCTCCTCCCTCTTTTCCACGGAGCCCCGTAGAACATTCGACGCCGAATCGCTTGACTCTGGCGTGTCCACAGAAGTCGACATCGCCGCAGCGAGCCAGCTGGTGGAGCACCCCTCTACGCCTCGCCCTGCAGCGGGTGAGCGAGCGCGCTGGGAGATCGGCCGCCAGCGCTGACAAAGGACGCCGCACCTGACGTCGGCTCGAACCCGGACTCCAGCAGCTGTGTCACACGCCGCTGGCGCGGCCCAGGCTTGGGCTCCAGGTTCCTGTTCCTCAGCTCGGTCTCGAGCTGGAGGTCCGTCATCTCGTGCACCCTCCGCAGGTCCGAGAAGTCGACGGTGACGTCGTACAGGGCCTCCTGGTAGTAGTGCCTGAACTTGAGGACGTACTGTGCCATCACGTTCACGATCACCGTCGCCATCGCCAGCAGAGTGAGGCTCGTCGTGAGCTGGATCAACAAATTTGTCGCGCTGAAGCTCGCCAGCTGGCCTGCGCTGCTTACCTCGAAGAGGATGCCGTGCTTGTCCAACTTTTCCCTCTCGGTGGGGAAATTCGAAAACACGACGTCGACCTCCTTGTACGTGCTTCCGTTGATGATGCTGACCTGCCCTCCTCCTCATCTTCCCTCCTCCCCTCCCTCGTCTCTCCCTGTCCTTCCTCCTCCCTGACCCCGTCCTTCCGTCCTTCCGTCCTTCCGTCCTTCCGTCCTCCCTTTTCCTCCTCCTTCTCCTCCTCCTCCTCCTCCTCCAGATTCCTTCTCCAGATTCCTTCTCCAGATTCCTTCTCCCGCAACTTCCCCATTCTTCCTCGTCGTCCTCCTCCTCCTCCTCCTCCTCCTCCTCCTCCTCACGGGGCTTGGGCACGCGCAGGCGACGCTACAGCGCGCCGAAGGAGCTCCGCACGCTGGAGGACCGCTTCGCCAAGATGGCCGCCGAGGGCAAGAAGGGCGGCAACAGCGCGGTCCGCCTGGGTGGCGATATGGCGGAAGTCATCCGCCCTGCTCCGACTGCGCCGGTGATCCCCTGGGGCGAAGCGCAAGCGCAGGCTGCCAAGGACATGGCGCGGCAGGAGGCGGCCCTGCTGCGTGCGCCGCTGCGGCGAGCCTCTCCTTCGCGGTCGGCCCCCAGTGGCCGCCTGGCGCATGCTCCTGGCACCTGGCACCTGGGCAGCTCGTGCGGCAGCCGAGGGGCGGCGTCGGACTCTTGCACGAACCACCCGCAGCCCCAAGTTTCCGCGAGGCTCTGGAGGCTGTCCTGGCGCTCACGCGGTTTCTCGCGACGCCCCCCCTGGTCCGGTCGCGCAGCCTGGCGGTGGAGGTCGGGCGCATCATCCATGCCATGTGCCCCGTCGGTACGTGCTACTTCAGCTCGTTTCTGCGACGAGGCCGCGGCGTCTTCCAGCCTGCGTGCGAGCACGGTTTCTTGCGCAGGAGGTCCAGGGAGGCGGCCTTGGCTGTGATGCACGCGACCCCATGGCGCTTAGACCTGGCGAGCTTCTGCGTACTCAGCTCTTTCAAGGACCTCTCGAAGCCGTTCCAGTGCACGTCGCAGGATGCCTTGGACGCGGCGGCGGAGCGCCTCTACTGTCCTGGAGACGTGGACCTTGTCCAGCGCCGGCACCACGAGTACCACCTCGTCCTGCCCACGGCCGACGGTGTCTGGCTCGATTCGCGCCTGCCGGGAGCGACGCACCTGGTTGCGACCCACCCCTTGACGGGGGCGCACGTCGACCTGAGCCTGCTGAAGTTCGCGGACGATTTAGCGAAGCGCTTCGCCAGCATGGGCGCGGAGCAGGTGATCGCCAACGTGCGCGTCTCGGACGAGCACCTCGACGTCGTTGTTCTCGGGCGCCACAGCTTCGCGCAGAACCTCGGTAAGCAGATGACCCTGCTTTCGACTCGTGGCCGGGGATCCATCGCGAGCTTGCGCTGCTTCTTCGGGCGCCGTGTCGCTCGCGGGCAGCGGGTCCCCGTGGCGCGGTATCTCGGAACTCAGCTGCACCATCGAGGCGCTCAGCTCCCCGAGGCGGCAGCTCGTGTCCAGGCGGCGGAGGCGGCCTGTGCCGAGATGGGCGGCTGGCGATGCGACTGGGGCGCTCCGCCCTGGGCTCGCAGGCCGTGCGCGTGACGCCGGGCGGGGAGGGTCAGCAGTACCGATCGCCCCCGAATGAGGTCGTGCAGCGAGACTTGCAGATCGCGCCGATGGCCGTGGACTTCCGCATTCTTCGTCTCTCGCTGCTGCGCCGCATGGTCCTCTTCCCCGCGTCCCTCGAGGCGGTCATCGCGGCGCTCTTGGGCGAGTTCACGCGGGCGGAGGGGGAGGCCCCGTCGGACCCCGTCGGAGACGGGCGCGCTGACCTTCCCGGCGCCGCCGCTGGCGCACGCCATGGTGGCGGACGTGGATGCGCTCTGTGTCGCGACCGGGCGCCTTGACCTTGCGGCGGCTGTGGCCCGCAGGATCTTCAGGCTCTGGACGGACGCCGACCTCGGCCGCGACATCGTGGGCCTGGACGCTCGGCTCTTGAGGGTTGCAGCGTGGAGCACTCGGTATCCGCCAACGCGCGCGGTCCCGGAGGGTGCAATCGGCTGGTGGGCCTTCCACGAGCTCGGCTGCTTT